AACCCAACAAAAACATAAACACCAAACCCCAAGTCCCCAAAAGTGACACTAGCTGAAGAATTGTACCTATCTCCAGGTAGTATAGGCAGAAAGACTTTCAAGAGGCACTTATTGACTGGTTTGTACCTGGCAGTATGAGGAGCTTCTCCTGAAGTTTTTCTTTCTTTTAACACCCAGAATAACAGCTGAAGTTATAACTGCACTTTACTGAAACTTCGATGAGCACGACATTCCAGATGTTGAGCATCCACACATTCCAACACCCTCTAAAGTTTGGGGGTTTGGACAATAAGCTAGAAAGCAAATTGTGAAGATCTGTTAAACAGTTGCCAAATCAGGCCAGTGTTAGAAGTGCAAACAGTACGGATCCCCTGAAGGTGGGCATAAAAGATAAAATGTGGGCAGTATAAATGGATTCAACCAACTACATTGATGTAAGAGTACCTAGGGGACTTTTTTTAAAATGACATTATCTAGAGAAGCCAAACTCTAGTTTGCATTAATAAAATTTTGCTGGGGAGTCAAAAAAAAGATTGTCTCTGCATCGAGTGTAATGTTAGAAAAGCCAAACAGGCCAGCTCCTTACAAGACACTGCAAAAGAAAAATGCGAGCACAAAATGTGAAATGAGTGATTTCCAGTACTGTGTGCTACTAAATCCCTCCAAATACACCTGCCTATGTACACACTGTTCTTTGAACGGGTGAATTTATGGCAATGAATAGATATATTCTTGTAAATGGATGAAAGAGTAACTCACAGAAACCCTGATGGAGGAGATATGAACAGACTTCAGAGGGCACTGGATGCTGGCCAAGTGAAGGAGCTGCTTAGAAGCAGCACTCAGGCATCCACCAAGGCACTGCTGCAAGTCATGAAGACAATGGCTAAAAGCAGATTGCCAGCAAACATTCTGCTGTACTTTACTAGTTTTTACTACTTTAACAGAGGGCTGAAACAGACTCAAAATAAGCAAAAATTGCAAGCAGTTCACTGATACAATTTCAAGGGATTCATAAGCTTTTACATATATAGTGTATGTTTTGTTGGAGAATTTTGCTCACCAGTTCAAGACCCTGACAGTTTGAACATTAGCTGTTCCCATGGCTGATACACACTTCCAAATTATAAAGTAGCACAGGAATTATCTGAAGACAGATACTTGCAGTAGTCTCAGCTCTCTTAGTACTTGACAACTGACTTGTTAAGAGGAACAGAAAACAGCACATATGGGAGGTTAAAAGAAACAGTAGGAGTAAAATGGTTGGTTAAATTACTACAATGCCTTTCTTGAAAAGACAGGTGGCCATCATTGCAAACACAGGGATGGCTGAGAGTGTCACTTCAAATTCCTGTAGCTTTATGTAGGGAAGGGAAGGCACAGAGAGGACAGCATACACATTTGTCCAGTTTAAACTCCCCACCTGGCATCTGGTTTTGGCCAATATCCAAGATGGATCACCAAGCTAAATGGATCTTTAGCATGACCTTGTTCTGGCAGTCTGTGTTCATACAGATGTCTTTGTTTCCTTTAATCCTAAAACAACATGGAGTATATTAGGGACAGATTTACCAGTGGCTATCCATCCTTGGAGAAAGGCAGGCATTTCTCTCATACCCTCAAGACTGCAGTGAAACCACCAGGACATAAAAAGAATTAAAATCTGAGCCTGATCCCATCCTACTAGCTTCACAATACTGATTCTTACACTGATTTAATTTCTACTGATTTAATTGAGTTTATTTTCTTTCAACCTAGTTAATAGGTGAGATCCAAGTCCTTATTACTAAAACAGAACTCTAATCAATTTTATCATATAAGCCACAGGGTTCCTACAGAGTACCCTTCAGCTTAACTATGAAGAGCAAAAAAATCCTGCTCTATTTTTTTTAATGGTATAAAAAACAACTTTGTTAATTCAGTGAATGCCTACTCAGGCTCTGAAGAATTTGTAGCATTCACCCATAGACCTTTGTAGTGAACAACAAGTCCAATCATTCTGGTTGCATTATGCAAAGTTCCAGGAATTCTTTGACATGAAAGAACTTAGATACATTTTCTCTGTTATACGGAAAGAGTATTTGATTTAAAGATATATCCCACAGAAGTCAGTCTTGGCAAACGTAGTTTAACTATAAACAAGCATTTTCACATTATTAAACCCATTTGTGACTATTTCATGACCAACTCAATTGGTTTCTTACCTCTGAATCACAAATTCTTTACATCAGTAAGTAGATAAACAACACTGTCAGAAGAAGGAGCTCCAACAAAAACTGTACCAGATTCTTCATTTCAGAAATGTAGTTTTGATTAGATAAATTATGATAGAGCAAGGAATAAAAATGAGTTTGTGTGAGAAACTGGCTATTCTTGGTCTCCCTAAACCTCAAGCAACACTTGCTGACAAAGAAAGAAATTGGTTTCACATTCCTTATATTAACTTATTTTATGAAACTTATCATTGTGAGGCTTTTAAAACTAACATGAGTACCTAAGTAATTTAGTGTTATCAAGTGTAATAATATATACAGTAATAAGAAATATCTAAGGATAATAAAGAATATCTAAGGATATAGGTGCTTCCAAATAAAGCTATTATTTGTTTTAATTGCAGTTTAGCAATAAGGAAAGTAATGCCTCAGAGAGCTCTTTTACCAATAGCCATGTTACTTTCTAATGCTACAGCCTGAATCAACACCTATAAAACAACACACTATCTCGAAAGTCACTGAGGGATGGCTGCACACACAAGAATTTGAAGCATCTTAACTTCCTTTATATCCTTCCTAGAGAGAACATAAACACAACGATGTGTTTGGCTTTTGATAAAAATATGTGGGGAACACAAAGGAAAAACACGACAAGAAAACCATCACAGAAAGTTCAACACAAGCTGTTATTCCTCTCACCAGCTCAAACCACAGCAACACTAAATGCCATAGAACAGTTTCAAACCATGGGAAAGAGCTGGAAACTTTCTATGGTGGCTTTCTTATCCTGCTGTACAAAGCTTTCTTAGTTTGGTATCTGTGAAACAATTACCCATCTGCTTCAGAACTGATCCTTCATAGTTGGTCCAGACTAACAACTGAAAAGAAACATCCTGAGAAATGGACCTAAACCAGCCTCAACACTGAGCTCCTGCAGAATGTAAATATCCCCAGTCTACAAGCAGAAAAAAACATACATTTGTGACTTGTAAAAACAAAAAAATATTAATGAGTGACTTCACCCTAAACATTTAGGTAGGCTTAAAAATTAAAACCAACTATCCTCTCTTTTTGAAATAAAGTAATTTTAACACTTTCAGAATATCAGATACTATGCAACAGGTTTCAGCTATTACTGTGCCTAGCTCTAAATACAGGACACAATAGAATTGAAGTTCTGCCCATTTTTCTTGTACTGTAAACAAATCCCTGCATGATAAATAGATATGGAAGAGTGTGTGCACATGGAATAAGAACAAGAGTTCAATTGTCAAATTGAAATTACGTTGGCTTGTGGTTGTGTAAGCTGTGTCTCTTCAGCAGGGTTGCAGTAATGCCACAAGAATTTCTGCATGAATTCAGTCCTTTTTCTCCCCAAACTTATTTAATTAATTTATTTTATTAATTAAAGAAAGGCTTCTCAAAAGAGATTTCACATTCAATAAAATTCTAGGGCTCTTCCATCCTTCCCCAAGTTAAAAATATTCCATCACTAGAACTATTGTACATAACCTTAAATACCTTCTGCTCCAAGTGAGATCATAGTTCCCTAAATGTAAGACCCTTTTCCCCATTAGATGGTTTTTCCTATTAACACTGTTCTAATTTATTTCATTCATTCTTTTTACATGCTAATGCTAAAGCCTTGAGTGAATTCAGAAAAAGAAGAATGAAAACATTTTACAGAAATCTTTTACATTTGTGTCCTGACAGTGAGAGACAAGGAAGTCCCGTGTCTTGCTGCCAGAGGATGTAACACAGCCTTGCTGAAAACAGAATTGAGGGACTCAATTTTCTAAACTTGAGAGTACTAAGCAAAAAAAAGATGATTTTGACCTATTTCACAAAACAGTCTGTTTGGACTCATAGGAGTAAATTTATAAAGAGGCATCTGAGCCAGCTAAGGATTTCCCATAACAGACATTGAAATAATTTAGACTTCTCTTGGTGCTTCAAACCAGTAAGTAACAGGCACAAGTACCTTATTCATGCTTCTGTGTTAGTCTCCTCTTTTAATAACATCAACACCTTTTCCTATAGGTCTTTGATCATTACTTTAATATTTCCTGTAATCATTTAGTGCAGTTCTTAAAAACAATTGGATTTTCGTAAGTTAAGTTTGTTAGTTGTCCAAAGCTAGAGAAAAAGAAAAATAAAAATGAAGCATCACAAAGCAGAGAAAACAGCCTTTAGTTTAGTTATTAGTCACTCTGAATGACTACAGTTTAGTCATTATTAGTTTAGTATAGTCATTCTGAATGACTATATTATCAAATCAACTGGGAACACAAAGGAAACAGCACAAAAGGATAGTCAATTAGTCCTTTCCTGTGTCAGTGCAGGATTGTATCTTACAACGTTATTGACAACTTTATGCATCCCAATTTTAGAATAAAACTTTTGGACTTCCTTGCTGTTGGAAATTAAAAATACATTTAAATATGCTAAGCAAAGAATTAATATAATTTCTGCTAGTTGCACCTCCAGTTAAATGACAGATCTCTTTCCTTGTTCCGAGGCAACAAACATAATTATAAACTTTGTTTACTTTTCTGTTTTACTCTCCAGTCACAGTTCTCATCAGCATTAGGCATGTGTGTCTCTATCATTGGCTATTTTGCAGCAGACACATTGAGATGTAGAGGTAAAATTACAACATTTTCTTTTCAAAGCAACAGCCCCTGATCTATTACAATAAACAAACTTCCATCTCCAAGCAACTGATCTCTTAGCAACAAGAAGCACCTGCATAAAAGATGCTACAGAGAGTGATCACCGGAAAACCTATTCAGATCTTTAAAAGGAGCACATCAGTAACAAGGATAGCACTCTCCACCGGTTAAAATCCAGAAGTAACAAGAAGACACAGGTAAATTTTCAATTCATATTATAGCATTTTTCTTCAAACAGTAGGGACAGTGGGACAGTACATAAATGGTTTTTATTTTGCTTCTGAGTGGGAAGTGCACCTTCTGGAGCTGCTTTAATCTGAGTTACTGTAATTATCTTTGTGTAAATTACATGCTGTCACTATTTAAAGAGAGATTTATTTTTTTTTAGTAGAAAATCTGCAGGTCTTCAGCCAAATTCTTGGTATTAAAACAACAGTAATATGTTACATATTTTGTAAGTATTCTACAAAGTTTTATTTTAAGAAAAAATAGCACAATGTTCTTGCAGAATAGTCATCCTTAGAAAGTGTCCACTTCATTCAACCTTTCAAACTGTTTATCTTACATTAAGAAATACTAAATCACTTTAGTTTTTATAGATACAAGCTCCCCTGATTAAAACCCCAAACTTATTCGTTGTTTCTGTGGTCTCTGATTTAATTCTTTTGACTCTCAAAATTTTGTTGGTGTGTATCACAACAAACTTAGGGTAGAATACATATCATGGGATGGACACTGCCAGCTGCTGCTGTATAGCAATGTAGAACTGGTTGGAAAGTGAGTGAATTTGGACAAGCCAACATTTCCAAGCATCATTATCACAGCAGGGAAAAAATGGATTGTAAGTGAGGTCAAAAAAAGGTCATCATGTAAAACAAGTCTGGAACTGACTTAGAGAAGTTTTTTATTCTATCATAACTTGAACTCTCTCGGTGCTTGCTGTAGAAAAGTGTTGTCTTTCTTTTAGCTACTGTATATTAGTTAACATTTATTTCTGGTTAATGAAGTCATTTGGAGGGAGAATGGTTAGAGAGTAGTCATGCATTCCTCCTTAGTCTTGTTTTTTCAAATACCCAGATGCATTTTTCTTAAGAATCAATTGACATACTTTGATAGAATAATTGATATTAAATATCTTACATAATACTTGAAAAAAATTAATTTATATTTCTTAGAGAGTCATCCCTTCTGTGTCAACTAAATTGTTGCTTCAATTGATCAAGGTATTTGCTAGCAATAAAAGTACAATAGCAGAGACATAATCATGGTAGAGAGAGCTGCCTTTTACTTGATAAATCAGCAACAAAACCCCCTACCCAATAGCAATAGAAACTGATAGCAGCCACATACAGAAAACCCTCCTCATACAGGTCTGCTTTGCCATGGTCACAACAAGGGTGTCTGATAAAAAGCAGATTAGAGAGAAATTTCTTCCCACAACTGGTTAGTTTAGTTTTGAGTTAATTAGATCTTATGGTGTTCTAAGGAAACTTTGAGGTAGACAGGCAGTAAAATCCAGTCTTACCAATACTGCAGAAGTTTGCTCATCTCCACAGCTCTTTCTGAGGCTCACAAGCACTGACACACCTGTGCTGCTTCAGGAGATGAAATGTTTCAGATGAAACTCCTTTACCATCTAACGTAGATAATACTTTTCATGGACATTATGGTAGTTTCTAAGCAGCAATGAGACTTCTTGTAAAAGGCACTAAAACTGGCAAGTGATTTTTCCAAATCACACATCAACCACTATGTAAACCACAAAAAAAGAGGCACTGCCTTTACTACAGTTATCCAAACAAATAGTAATATTCAAATGGAGTCTTACACTTATCAAAGGTATTTTTGATGTATTTGTTTCCCTGGCAGAGAGTTTATTCTGCATTGACCAGCGAAGTCCCACTCACATGATAGTAGAAGTGGTGCTAAGAAAACTAGTTGACCAAACTGACTCCAGACAACAGGAGTGTCAATGTTTACAAAAGTTCTGCAACTCCAAATTTCTCTGCACCTTGAAACTCACTGTACACTTGGAGGGGTGACAAGAAATCAAGTGTTTTGGACACTAAAGCAGATACAGTTGTAGCCACCACCAACACGTAACAATGCAGCAGCACTTTGTAAGTGCTACGAAAGGCAGCTGACAGAATTTAAAAACTCAGAGAAGCGTCCTCTAGGGGTAGATCCTGATCAGCTGAGAGACAAAGTAAAACTGTCACAAGAAGGCTCACTAAAATGAAGAAAGCCACAATTCCAAATTAGCAAAGGTATAAAACGTAACAATCTTTCTTATCTCATGGTACAGACATTTTTTCAACACCACAAACAATGGTATGTTCTGTATTTTTGTTTCACTTGCCCTCTGACACAATATTAGGCTCCCACCTCCTCCTTCACTTGTCAAGAACCCCTTTAGATTGCCAGGAGAATTGTTACTAAATGCCCACTTCCAAGCTTCTGCTGAAAGCTGTCACCTCTTCCTTCCCTCCTCCTCCTCCTCTTCTAACCTAAACAACTGATAAATTTGTAAGTACTATTTAGATTAGATTTCACAGTAATCAAGTGGTACAGGATTATTCCTCAAGGCTATAATAACCATTCAACACTGCTAGAATACATTTCCATAGTAATTAGATGTGATAGAGCTCTACAACTACACAAATTCCAACCCACTGACTCCAACTCTAAAAATGGTTGAAAAAGAGATTTATTCCCTAATTTTCACATTTTACCATATTTATCTTTCCTTTGAGTTGCAGAAGATTGAGTTGAAAGTAGAAAATAGACCTAAACTATAAGCCAGAGTGCTTTCAGAAACAGAGTAATATAAACACCTAACTTTCAAAAGGCTGCTCTGCACACTGTGATTGCAAATGAACCCATATATAATGTGACAGATGCCACCTGGAGCAAAGGATAAGGTCACTAAAACACAGATTCAAAGCAAGTGAAAAATAATTAAGAAAAAATTATTACAAATCCAAGAAAAAAAAAACATCACAAGCATAATGCAATATAAGATAAGCAATAAATTGTGATGGAAAGCTCTCTGTGACATCCCCATTGCATGCTGAGAGAATTACAGCATTAGAAGAGACCACAGAATACCAGGTAGCAAAAAAAACATGCAATCTGATGCTTACAGAGTAATTTTACTGCTCAGTTTATAAGGAATGGTAAGCACTCTTAAGTTTAGAAAAGGTTTCTGAGGTGTTCTCAACTTAAAACCCCACAGACTTTCAAGGCAAGACAATCATTCTATCAAGGATGTGATGTATGTTTTACACCTGATGATAATTATCCACTTCAAATTAATTCTTTGAAAGGAATGTAACCACACAAAAAAACCCCCCATATATTACTTGACTTTTTAAAATTGTTCTTATAATAGATTCAGTGCAAATGCAACCAATTTTGCAGTAGTTCCACATATTCGACAGGTGGGAAAAGAATTTCTGACTTAGCAATAAAATCCACAATTTAAAGGCAACTTAAAAGTAATTGTATGAAACTCCTTCAACATGAGCTCTATGGAAGAGCTCTGATGCAGCTAAGGATCAGACAGTTCTCATCCTGTGATAAATGTTATAATCCCAATACAGCAAGATACTTATATGCCTAGAACTAATTAAACTCAACTCATTTTTCAGAGGTACTGTTTTCCTGTTAGTCTATATCAGCATTGGCAAACACAGTGGTACAAGGGGAGCAGATCTGTAAAACGAAACTGTTGGTGATGATCCACTTTCTCCATGGTACATATTTCATGGGAGTTCAATACAGATCTAAACAGGTTTTGTCATTTGAATCTCCATTAAAAGCTGGTGTGTATGAGCCCATCATCACACCATGAGCTACTTCCACCCAAAAATCCCCCAGTTTGTGTGCTCTGAAATTGCTCTGGGACACCTACTGAAGTGTGGGAGTGGGGATAATCTGCAGGTTTGCTGTCAGAGCACACTACTGGTGCAAACAGAAACACCAGTGCAGACACCACGAGCCACTGCCCTCCTGGATTATTACACCTTCAGGCAGCACCCACAGAACAAATACAAGAAAACCACTATTTTTTGCCTGACCAGGCCTTCTAGTTGTGAAACCCACAACAAAATCCCTCTGCATACTTAGATGTAGAAGGTTGAACTTTCACAGTCTGCATGAAATCATCAACCTTAAACGAGTGAAAGCAGGTAATATATAGAATCATCTTCTAGAAAGAGAGGAAAGGCTACAACATTTGATTGGGAAAAAAAAGAATTACTGGGCTTATATAAGCCAACATTTATTATCATTATTATTATTATTATTATTATTGTGTGAAATAAGTCAATTTATTTTCCAAACTGTTTAAACCTAGATCAGTTGCTCCAGATGCTGCTAACAGTGGTCACTGATATCTGGGAATTTATAAAAAGGAGCAGATTTTTTTTTCTCCGTGTCTCTCCTGACAGATGAACCACTACAGAGGAAAGAACTCCAGGACACAAGAATGGCTCTTCAACAGTTGTATGATCTCCTCCTTCTCAAAATTATCAGAGATTTTCAGCTCCAATTCTATAATATGATTTTATGAATTTGTTCTTTTACTGACAGAGTCATTAACTACAAAGCTCTAACTGGACTAAGAGGAGTCAATACATCTGTCCCCTAGATATATGGGCTTTTCTCTTTACTGTGGACCTTGTCATCATTCCTCATATCACCTTTAGCAATAACAGAACCTACATTCTTCTAGGATTTTATAGTCAAGACTTAAAAATCAGTAATCCAAAGGGCCCTCTGCTGGCAGATGGTTTCCCAACTGTTAAGGTCCACAAGTACTATCAGGGCAGACAGGCAATCATCTATTTTGTCACTAAAGAACTTTCTTATTATAAATCTCTTTTCCCACACTCAATAGTGGGATTTTAAAAGCTTTTCTTTTTGCCCCATCCTTCTTCTACCATATAAGCAACAGTCTGAATCAATAAATCCTTCTGATCTGACACACATCTCCACCCGCTGCAAGGAAAGGAAATGACCTATAGAGATTTCAACACAAAATTAGCAAGAGTAGTGAAAACTTCTTTCCTGCACAATGGGCACTCTACCTTTGCTCTGTTTCTAAACTTTTTCAGTCTACTCAGTGACTACTTATTATGAAAATTCATTTAGCTGAGTTTTTATTAGGAGTGACTTACCTCATGGACAATTCCTAAAAAATACAACGGGTACAAGTAGGACAAGCAGTTCAGTTGAAATGTATTTAAATGAATTTTTTCTGATCCAACTTACTTCTGAAATAAAAAAAAAAAAAAAAAAGGCAGTCCAAATACAAACCCAGAAATTCTGCTTGGATCATACAAAAATGAAGCAAAGAAATTCTCAGTAGAGGAAGTGTAAACTGTTTGTTTTAAGACCTTGAGAAGCAACTTTGACTAAAAATAAGATTGTGTCAGACCATTTCAAGAGTATAAAAAGGAATCAAATTTAATTCATTGCCTTTAATTCTTTTATCTACATGAGAGCACAGCCCAGGGTATAAAACTTATAAATATAACAGAAAGGTGTACACTGATGTATTGGATATACCACAGAAAAAAACAAAAATTCTTTTACTAAAATGATGAAGTTGGGACAATCTAGAACCTAAAACTCAATCCATTCCTATCAGTATGTTTTGAAAAGACAGAAACCTGCCTCCATGTCTCTGTCAAAACAAAGATAAGCTTCAGCTGTGAATAACTAAAAACTGAGCAAGATCAAAACTCAGGGTTGATTTTCAGAAAATAAAAGGGGGAGTCTCGTGCTTGCAAAGTACACCATGCAAACATATCAGGGCCTTGACCTCTGGCAGGGCTCCACCTACGGATATAATATTGACAGATTCACATTTGGAGGAATGAAATTGGTTTATTTCATAGCACCCAAATGCACAACCAACTACATACTTCTCTTCATAGGGAATAGGAGGCAGAGAAACTACTGTACACACAACAGACTCTTGGAGATGAAAAAAAAAACAAAACAAAAAAAACAGTGCACATCAGAGCCTGTCTGTGTCAGTGGAGTACAAAGATGAAGGTGATCCAGAGAAAAAGCAAGAAAAAAAGTGAAACTGTACTCTAAATGTAGTTATTTCCTTCTATAACGCTGTAAGCTCATAATAGGGAAAGAGACTGAAGCTGATAAAAGTATTTACATACACATGCAGGCATGCTTTTTTTGTGATAACAAATAGCATTCAAGGAAATCTAAACTAATAAACACTGCTACATGGTAAAAAATACTTTTGATTACAAAACCTTTTTTTCACAACATGCAAGACAGTATAACAGCTGGATATGTACAAGATGTACGTGAACACTCCCAGAAGAGAAGTAGTGCTCTGTATTGGAATAGCATGATGTTTCTAAAAGGTCATCTGGTAGATTGGTAACTCTGGATCACAGCTATCCCAGGAACCTGGCACAGCAATCATCCCAAGCACTGGAGCATGGCATTCACCTGCAGGTTTCAAGCCACTGCTTGCTCCCCTCCCCAGAGTTTTGCCTGTACTCAGTACATTGTCTGCTTTGACCATAAACAGTCTCCTTACTGTCTAGAAAACATCTCTTCCATTCTTGGCTTAGTTTAATGCAATTATAACAGGGATGGTCACTGCAAAGCAAGTGTGATCTTTTCTGCAACGTGAGACCAAAGCACAAGACAAACAAGAAAGCACTTGCTGAAAGTAAACTGTATCAAAAAGCTTCCTGTTAAGTAAATATAATCCTTCAATTTTGAAATGTAGTTGCAGAAAGAAACAAAACAAATCTGTTCTTGGCAGGGTAAACTTAAGAAGCTGTTTTATTAATAAAATACTAGGCATATGCAAGCAGTATCTTCATGTTGTTACGAGTTCTCACTCACAGAATAACATCTTCCTTATCAGGTACAATCACCTCTTATATTTTTTGATTTAAGTCAAAAAGTTGCAAAATAACTTTGAATGAATCCTTCTACTCCCTCTATGCATAAAAGACCTGTCCATTTTCTTGGATTTTCTTTCCTGTGCCAAGTGCTGGTTCCTGCTTGAGGAAAAATATAGTAACAGACAATCTATGATCCTGTTTGTAATGGCATATACTATATTTTTCAAAGTACTTAGCAGATGAACCATGAAGAAATGCAATACATTACAATCAAAGATTGACCAAAAAACCCCAACAAACAAAAAAACGAACAAAAAAACCCCAAACCAAACAACACTTCCCCCAACATGTATTACATGTTTCAAACAAAAACCTGGGGTTTATCTGCATCATTAAAAACTACCATAGTTATTCTCTAAATTCAAGAACTCTTGCACTACAGGCCTACAAGAATGGAAACAGCTAAGTAACAGACAAAAACTTGCAAGTGAACTCATTCAGTGCTTCCACATGTGCTGAAAGTTTAATTTCTTGTGTTTTGGTTAGAAATTTGAGAGGAGTGAACCTCAGCATTGGCCAGCCAAGTCAACATCAGAGATAAAAGGTCTGTCAGCCAAAGTATCCAAAACTATGCTTCAACATCAAGGTCAGAAAATCTTTGTTATTCCCAAGCAAAAAGAGTGTCTGCTGCATGACTGCTTCGGCTGGTGATGAAGCCTGTCCTGGCAAGCAGTCCCAGCAGTCACTCTCATTATAAAATAAAGCCACGTCAAGAGCTAATTTGCTCATTTATAAGAACTACAAAGGGGTTGAGAGGTACCTACTAAAACTGAATACATCTGAGTGTTGACAACCTCTGCCTCTTTCCCCTCTCTCTCTGAAGCAAAGCAGAATCTCTTGGAAAAGATGGTCCTGGAAACTCTGAATCCAATGCACTACAACATCACCAGCCTTGTACAAGATACGGTGCCAGTGGCCACAGTGCCCATACTCCTTCTCATGTGCTTTCTGTTTCTCATATGGAATCATGAAGAAACTTCATCAATACCAGGTAAATTAATTTTAGCTGTAGTGCCACCTAAAAGCTGCCAGAGTAATTTTTGTTTGTTTCTCAAGTTTAAGTGGGAAAGTAACAGTGAATAATGATTGTATGACAACAAAATTTATTACATGCCAGTTTAAATAAAACAAATTTTTAAAATAACTGATAAAAGAAATCAGGCTCATTCTAACCTCAGAGCCTCCATAATAACCCTGGCTTGGCCATATAAGTATATGACATTTAGTTTTCATCTTTATTGTGTGTATGCTAGAAAGATATAATAACATTTACAAACTGTAGTTGTTCATATTTCATGTGCACTATAAATGACTTTTTACATGTTTTAAAGTTTAAATCTTTCTAAATTGTTTTTACTATAAAAACTATTATCTAGGAAATTATTTAGATTTTAGTAGATTATCAATTTTTTTCTCCATGTTTAGCACTGAAGACCCTCCAGAACAGAACAACATCAAATGGCTTCCCTTTCCCTTCTGTAATGTTTTGGGGGCTCGTGGTAGAAATCACTGAATCAACTTATTTTTTATCAGATGTAATGCAATCACCTTTTGCATGAATGAGAACAGTGCACACATATCCTGAAGGTGTTTGGCAGGAATAACCCTAAACAGGATCAGTGACTCCTGAACCAAATTCTGAGAAAAGACCCTTAACAAAGACCCTTCAAGGAGAAAGTATTCACAGAAGGTTGTACATTCTATTTGAATGTTTGATTGCACCTACAAGAAGATAGAACTAAGTAAATATGCTCTAAGTTTTCAGGTATTTAAATAATCTGGGGTCTTGTAATTCCTATTAGTAAAAGTTGAAACCATAAGCAACTTTTAAAATTTTTAAACAGTGTACAAACTTCTGTAAGTACTTGAGGTTTTTTATGGAGTCAGATTCATATTTTACAGACTAAAGGGGTAAATATAGCTTTCCCTGAAGAAGGAAACTTCCTTTTAATGGTAATTAGGGGCAAATTTTCTCTTGATGTCTCCACTTTGTCCTTTTTGTTGTAAGAGAGAAATTTGTTGCTGAATTACCGTGGAATGATTTAGTTGAGAACTTTGTTGATTAAATGCTTATTAGTCCCTTCTTAGCTCCTATTCAGCATGTTTTCATAAGTTCACAACAGTAAAGTACTCTTTCCTTTAAATATCTCTTTTCTCACTTTAGTTTGTGACTTTAAAAGAAATATAACAACTGCATTTAATTACACCAAAAAGACACTGACTTTTGTAGATGTTACTGTGACACTTCCAGACAAAATTCAGTCAAGATCACACAAGGGATTCGTTAAAATCACAAATCAATATATCACATGCATCTTTTCGAGATCATTTCTTCTTTCTAACTGTTGTCCCTCCAAAAGTATCTTTAAAAAGAGCAGCTAGAAGTTGTACAAGGAACGAATGCCTGTCATTTGTGGTGCACTGAAAGCACTCCAGACTTCCACGGGTATTAAGGGAGGCTTCACCAATGTAGGTGCAAAGTTCCCCGGGCAGTTTCAGGACAGGATTGTTTGGGTGAACTGCCCGCTGCAGGCTGGGACTGCCACGTTAAAAAGCTCCTTTCAAAAGGGTGATGCTCAGGGATATTTTCTTGCCAGCTGAGACCAAACCTTTCTTACCGTGTTCCTTAGGGCCAGGATACTGCATGGGAATCGGCCCCCTCATTTCTCATGGGAGATTTCTCTGGATGGGAGTAGGTAATGCCTGCAACTACTACAATAAGACATATGGAGACTTTGTGAGAGTTTGGATCAGCGGTGAAGAAACATTTATAATTAGCAAGTAAATCCTCTACTTTCTATTCTTAATAACTTGAAAAGCTTTTCTCATATTTTTGCAACCTCTTCGCTACTTTTTTCTAGAGTTGAACTGATGTTATTATTTTCAAAATTTATCCTAACATAAACCTTTTACTTCCTGCTATTCACAGACGCTTTCCTAATCTTTTGTTTCTTTAACAACTCTGCTATTGAAGTTTTGGTGAGTTCTCCTAAATTTTTTGTGGAAAGGAAGATTAAGCACTGTGGCTCAATCCTAAAAATCATTTACTATTTTACTGTTCAATTTAATCTGAGGATTACATTCTGTTCAGGAACCTGGACTGACTGCAATGAGGGATTAAGTCAAATTTTAGTTTCCTGTGTTCCTATTTCTCCTTAAAGTGGAAGTAATACTTGAAGGTTATGGCTCCAATTCAACCATTTAATTAAGCAAATGCAGCTTTATGGGATTATGAGTAATTCAACTCCAATTAATGGATTATTCATAGGCTTCAATTATACACAATATTAAACATAATGCTAAACTGTAGCCTATCATTTTATTAGCTCCAGTGGATGTTTGCTTTCTTCTTGGATCTTCTGGATGCATATGAGTTATACCATGAAAAAGGAAAAAAAGAGTGGTAAAATGTTTACCATGTGTGATCAATAAAGAATCACAATGTTTTTATCAGCAATATCAATCAACCCTTACTCAGCTTCCACTGTGTAAAAGCTTTTGAAAGACCATCCAGCAAAGAGAACTATCACAGAATTTACCATGTGATGCAAGTCAGCTTTATCTGTATTTTAACCTCTGCAGAAAAAGTTAATCATGACAGGAAAACTATTTACATTCCTATCCTACATTAGATATTGCAAATTGCAGTGAAATATGTTGACAATGCTATGAATGCTTTGAAAATACTACAAATCCGTATTCCTGCCTTTCACTGTCTGTGCTACCAATTCATCAGAAACAAAACAGGAGGGCTGACAAACAATGCCAGAGCTGCATCAGACTTTACAGTCAATACATCACTTTTCTACAGATATTTTTTGCTTAAAATCATTGACTGTACATAGAAAACAAGTATTTAACTTTTTTTTAAAGAATATAGAATAAAAGTTTTCAGCGGATCATAAATTCACTGCAAAACTAAATATAACCTGAATTCTGTAAAAGTATACTCTTTTCACTAATGGCATCTGAATTTTTTAGCATCAGTTCTAATACTGAGATGTTAGTGCAGAGAGGGAAGGACTTGTAGTGTTGGTCAAAACACATAATGCCTTTTGGGGGACTTCATTAAATAGTTTCCTGAGGAAAATCTGCTTATACAAGGCCACTTGATGAAACCCTCCCTTTAAACATTGTGATCCATCTCCTACGTAGAGACGTGTGGGATGGAAGGAAGCAAAATGAGCCTGCTGCACCTTTTCCTTCCTGGAGACAGCTGTTATAATTCAATAACATCTTCTCATGTTCAGGAAATTACATATGATATCCCTTGACATGCAAAAAATCTTTAAGGTTAACTTTGCCTCTGGGTCAGACTAAACTGTAGTGAAAACCCAGCACTGCTGCAGTCAATAGCAAAAGTCACATTTACTTTTCCCAATGGAAAAAATATACCAAACCCATATAAGAAGTCTGGAATTTGGTCCATAGAGTATGATACCTGACAAAGAAAGTAGCACATCATTTCATGTCAATCTCTCTTCTGATTTTCTTTTTTTTTTGTTGGATTTCGTTTTGTTGGGTTTTCATCACATCCCCATTTCTGAAATGCTGGCTCCCTCTAAAGGAAATTGTGTCTTAAAGCAACAATGCTGGTCACAACCTGTCTGCCAGCACCTGCAAATCAACCTTGCCAGCTGTAAAAAGAATTATACATATCATGGATTTCTCTCACATATCTATTTAAGAATATTTATCTCACACGTATCTGCATATTATGATGCTGCATATTTAAGTGAACTGTGTATATTTATGCTTTCAGTATGTGTCTGTAAATGACCCAATAGCCACAAAAGTAAATACATTATTTAGTACACATCAAATATTTTACCTTCTCCTCTGACATGTCTGACTTTGGTCACTGCCTGAGTGTATCTTACATACTTACATATTTCTATGTATACACCCTATTCAGTTTAAAATCTTGGTATTTTAACTAAAAAATAGTTTTAAATCTGAACACAATACATTATTGCTCTAATATAAATTCTGAAGGTATTTATCATCAAGATTTTTAACTACGTAAAAAGATATTTCATGTTAAGCATTATACTTTCTGCTAAATTAAAAATGCAAGTCCACATTTCAGAGAAACTGTAAAATGTCAGAATAAAAATGCTGTGTACCATCTATGAAATGGTGGTTTTGTTTTGGGCTTTTTTCTCATTCTCTCCCAGATCCTCAAGTGTATTCCATGTGATGAAACACTGGCATTATGTGTCTCGATTTGGAAGCAAGCTTGGATTGCAGTGCATTGGCATGTATGAAAATGGGATCATATTTAATAACAACCCAGCACACTGGAAGGAAATTCGACCCTTTTTCACCAAAGGTAAATCAGTGTGTGCTGACACACTGCACCACTCTAGCACATTCAATCTTCTCTGAGATGCTGTTTCTCCCCGGGTTCAGTATGTCCCAGTGACATTACAGGGTGCCAGCAGGTTGCTGCACAGGCACAAGGCTGTTTGAGAGCACCCAGGAGTTACAATTTGAGAAATCTCCATCATCCTCCCCACAAATCCCCAAGTTCTCTTCCCTGCTCAGTGTCATTGCAAGCAAACGAGATGGGACATCCACAGAGCCTGTGGTGCAGCTGAGGCTGTGGATACCCTCCCCGTCAGAAAGGCTGCCTAAATTATGCCAAATATCTTTGCATGATGCGGCACAAACCTGCCATAAAATGTGTGAGGTACAAAGTGGATGGATATAAGTAAAATTCTGGCTTTGGGTTCATAGTCATCTTAACTCAAAATGCCTTCATTTTTCTTTCAGAGGATGATAAACCAGTTAAGTTTCAGACTGATTTTATACCAGTCACTGACATGATAACATTTGCCATTTTATTGACAGCACTGTCACCAACTGAGAAGTTATAAATAAGGTATTTTGAATTAACAATCATTTTGCACGTGTGTTTCAGCTCTGTCCGGTCCTGGTCTGGTTCGTATGATAGCGATTTGTGTGGAGTCAACAGTGGATCACCTGGACAAACTGGGGGAAGTGACAACTGAACTAGGAAACATCAACGTGTTGAACCTCATGAGACGGATCATGCTTGACACATCTAACAAGCTTTTTCTTGGGATCCCTTTGGATGGTACTAAAAGCTTTATTTTTATGCCTTACGATGAATCTAAAGTACTTGCCCAGGGAAAACTCACTGACATCACTCAGAAGTATTGTTTCAAAAAACAGAGCAAGAACGGGCTCTTATATCACCATATAATTAACTGAGAATGATTTAATATCGTTTTAGTTAGAAAAGAGAATTTTATATGACCAAAACTATACATTAGGTTGTCACATACACCTTAATGAATAGTACCATTTAAAGAGATTTTTATGCACTGAGTTGGTATAATCCCAGTATTATCTGCATTAAAGAATCTGAAACCTTTCCACCAAACTAAATTATTGCCTTTAAAAGTTCACCTAAAGATTTATGTCTTCTGCTATTTCTTCAGCCTCAAAGCCATATGAGAGAAATAATATTATCAGGATGTCTAAGTTACCCCATTTCAATATTCTGCAAGCATTCTGCTCCTGCTCTCCTGTGGGAGATTATTTGGCTCTGGTTGACACACCAATATGTCCTTTTAGCTAGTTAGCAAGTGTTTTCACAATGATCTATTATACCTTTTCTACAGTGTGCTACAAATATTACCTACCAGTTTTTTATCAAATTCCCATGAACTTAGAGTAGGGAACAGGACCTTATTATTAATTTTTCTGAATTATTTGTGTTCCCTGACTATTGACTTTTTTTTGTTAATGTTCATTTTCAGAAAATGCCATTGTACTGAAGATTCAGAATTACTTTGATGCTTGGCAAGCACTTTTATTAAAACCTGACATATTTTTTAAGATTTCTTGGCTGTGCAAGAAATATGAAGATGCAGCGTAAGTATCAAAGTTTTACAAATCATTTACATAAGACTCTTTCTTTCTTATGAAGGAGATATTCCTTGGAGCTTTCCTCTGCCTTTTAGAAACTACAAGATTGTTGCTGAAGTCCCCTGTCCACAGAGCCAAGATAGAACAAGATTTGTCACTGATGCTACAAGCAGATGATCTCAGGGGACAATTTCAAGTGTTTGTCAATTCAGTCCCAATTTATTCACCAAAATATTAGTTAATGCCAACTCAAATGTGAAACTCAGTTAAGATTACTGGTTCAGTTCAGACAAAGAAAGTCCATCATATGGGGTGAAGTTCCATTTGCTGCCTAGTTGAGGACAGTCCAATAGTAGGTTACAGCTCATCAAAACAAGAAAATCCATCCACACTCAGGGCACAGTCCCAGAAAGGCATTTATTGGTTCCCTCAACGTGTATATTTGAGTCAACAACTCCCTTCTGAATTAAACCTCAGTGCTCAGCGTGATAAACCTTTTCAAGGGGTTTTTCCTTAATAAGGAAAAAGTACATTTTGTCATCTTGTTCTTGGCAAAAATACAAAATGCCTCTTTTATTTTTATGGTCTTGTTTGCTGTCTTTTGCCAAAAGAAGCCTGGCTCTAAAAAGAACTGGCCATCATTTTTTTTTCATTTTGGATTTGTATTCCACCTAACGAAAGAAATTGCTACTTAGGAAGTATGTGTAATAAATTGTTTCAATAGTGCTATATAACATAAAGGTTTTAATGGAAAGATGGAGGTTCCTCTAAAGTAATTGACAGTTCTTGTGAACTAGACACAACATTTGCCTTCTCTAACATTTGCTTGCAAGGTTTATTATGGCACTGATTGCTGCTTTATCATGTAATGCAAATAATAGCCAAATATTATGGCCCAGTTATTACTAGAAAGCCCCTACAAGCAAATATTGATATTTCAAAAGCTATCCCATTAAAATGGATTTATTCATAAATTTCTACTGCAAAGAAAAAAGATAAAGATTGCTGGACTTAAAGTAATGCAAAGAACCACCACAGGATATGAAGACTTCTAATATTCTTCTGATAAATTTTGCAAAAGGACCATTTGCTTTTCCTAATGCATAAAAGATGTTATAAATACTGAGAACTTTACAGAGACTGAAGTTTTAAATGCATTTACCCCTACAGACCCAGTCAAATTTTTGTAACAAATGCAAATTAAAGACTTTATTCAAAACCTTTCCACAATACTTTTTTAAAAAGAATTGCCTTTAAATCTATATATCAAATATATATTATTATTACTACTTTGCAGAGAACCATGTAACCATTCCTAGGAATACTTAATTTCTGCCATTCTTAGATGTTTTTCCTGGTATAATCTCTATGTTCCCGGTCATACCTTAGTGTTTACTAGAAGCCTGCAGATATTTGTCAATATGATTGATTTCATCTGTTTTCAGCAAGGACCTTAAAGGAGCAATGGAAACCTTAATAGAGCAGAAACGGCAAAAGCTTTCCACTGTTGAAAAGTTGGATGAACACATGGATTTTGCATCCCAGTTGATTTTTGCACAGGTATTGGAAATGTACTCAAAATATCTCTGAAAATAAACTGATTTTTCTGACATTCTCCTGAACACAGGTTTTGCAACTTAAACTTCATGTACCTCTCTGAAGGTCAGGTCATCATAAAAGGATACCAATTAGTTGGTGCTGTGGAGTCCCTAACAATGATTTAAATATGAATACTTGTATTTTGGTATCAAGTGCTTGTTATATTTATTTCATGGCTTGAATAAGATCGTTAAAACTCTTACATCTATCCCTGAATGTCCTTCAGTCTTTCTCTAACCTCAGTATTTTATCTTGATGTATTGCCTTTTGTTTGAAAAGGTTTCAAATACTATACAAATCCTGTCTTGTATAATCTCTACCAGCTCACAAACTCTGTGAAGAAAGGCAATAAACTAAGAAGAATCTGAGCTAAGAACAAACTCCTGCTTTTCTGTAAGATAACACACACCCATCAAAACATGAGTTTTCTATTTTTCTCTGAAAGACGAAAAACAAATGTTATTTAGCAGAAGATAGACTGTCAAGAATTTGTACAGTCTGCGGGACCTTCGTTGGCATCAGAGGTCAGCAATCAACATTTTCTCCAAAACTTCCATTTTTTTTCAGAACAGAGGGGATCTGACTGCTGAGAATGTGAACCAGTGTGTGCTGGAGATGATGATTGCTGCTCCTGATACTCTGTCTGTGACTCTCTTCTTTATGCTAATACTGATTGCAGAGCACCCCACAGTGGAAGAGGAGATGATGAGAGAAATTGAAACTGTTGTGGGTAAGCAAGAGCTGCAAAGTCAGTGATGTAGGACTATAATTTTGCTTCTGCAGTGATCTAATTTCAATAATTCAAAGGCTGAAAATTTTAAGTGTTTTCTTCTAAGAGAAGCTGTAAAACACATGAACTACCATTATATGTAAAAGATTTTGTTCAAGATCAAATGAAAGAAGATGTGTAATTTGTAAAATAAATTAAAGTAGCAATCACCAGAATTGATAATCTGTTAGAAAGAATGTTCTGTATTCTCTCCTCAGCAACAGCAGTGGAAATCAGCATTCACCTCATAACTTTCATGGAATTTGCTTTCCATTTACCTTGAAATAGCAAAAGGGGACACTCAGTTCAAATACTTCTAATCACCAACATTTTTCTGTGATAAAATACAGAACTTCTCTAAATTTCACTATGACTGTAGAAGGAAAAGACTAGAGAAAATTAAAATTATATTCTGCTGTCACCCATTTTGATCTCAAATTGGTCTTCTCAAAGTACTAATTACTAACTATTCAAAACACAATCAAGATATTCCAAATTTGTATTCTTTCCTTTCTCTAGACTTCATTCAAAGCCTGACACTGAACTAATATAGAAACTAATTTCATCCACTCTTATTAGAGATTTACTTCTGGTCTGTTAAACACTGGAAAATGTATAACAAGTCCTTTACTCTTTTTCAAAGGTACTTTTAATAAACCTTATTTTATTGTCCTCATGAGAGCTGAATACTCAGCTTACTCACTTTCCCTATTTCTTTCTGATAGCCTAAGGCAGTAGAATGTTGTTGCCTTTTCCTTCAGCAGATGACCAACTGTGGGTAGCAAACTTTTATCTTGCAAGCCGACTGAGCTGTACATCCAGCCAAACCCAATCACAGGGTGAAAATTTAAGGTCCCCACAAAGTTATCTCCCATCTCCAGACTGTTCCCAGGTTCTGTTTGCTGTCAGCTGTTGGAAGATTTGTTTGTGTCTTGTTGCTCCCTCATACAAAACCCAGGGAAGGACTTTCAGAGTTCTGTTCTCCTTTCTTGTCAGCAACAAAGAGTCAGTGTATTAACAAGAAGGTGAGAGATCATAAAATAAACTAGGGTTTGTGCTGATGAACATTATTCAGATTTCCTGAATAACTAAGGCTACATAAAACTCCTTAAAAGCTGTTGGATCTTTCCTACCATTTCAGAACTTGAGAACCTTCCAAAAATGTTTTGATATTCCTATAATGAAGCTATTACATTCATAACCAACTAACATCTTCACCATCTGCTTTATTCCTTAAGGTGACAGAGACATACAAAGTGAGGACATGCCAAACTTAAAAATCGTGGAGAACTTTATTTATGAGAGCATGAGATACCAGCCAGTTGTGGACTTGATCATGAGGAAAGCTTTACAAGATGATGTAATTGATGGATACCCTGTGAAAAAGGGGACAAATATTATCCTCAATATCGGCCGCATGCATAAGCTTGAATTCTTTCCAAAGCCAAATGAGTTTTCTCTTGAAAATTTTGAGAAAAATGTAAGTTTTCTACCTCATTTCTTATGGAACATTGGGTGTTGTTTACTGTTAGTGTCTCTTCCTATTACTTTCATCAAGAACTTTGTGACCATAAGGCTGTTTTCCCTTTGTCTAAGTGTCTAGTTACCTATATATCCTGCTTACTATTATCATTATTATTATTATCAGACCTAGGCAGGTATTTTTCTATCAAAATGCCTTTTAAATAAAAAGTAATTATAACATAGAAAGCAGTTTTTTCCAGACACAATAATTTTGAATAAAAGTTTCTAATTAAATTTGCCAGGCACACATAGTTGCCTGACACTGGACAAAACAAAGAGACACAGACAGCAACTTCAGTTTCAAAGAAATAAGTAAATGACCCACTTTGATACACCAAAAATGGACTTTTTAGTAAAAAAAGCTGAAGAAATAGTTAAGAAAACAAAGAAACAAGCCAGAAAAAGACCTGTAAGTTTTACATATTTCCTATCAAAAATCCAAGTGTACCATGTATGCCACACAAAAATGAGCACCAATCAACCTGGTTAGCATTTCTAAACTGCTATTTTATTACCCATAAAAAACTCTACTCAGTATTAAAAACAACAGCTCAAGAAAAAAAGTCTGTAGAAAATTCAAGAAGGGAGCAAGTGATGAAGTTTACTGAAATTATTATTCACTGTGAACGGATTCCATTTTGTCCCCCATTATTTTCATTCTAAGTATTTCTATCAAAATGGATGTCTTGCTTATTTTATGAGTACATTTTGCTACTAAAAATATTTCCCCTTGACCAAATATTTAACCACACATTTTCTATCTGACTTGATGCATTCTCTTTGCCACATAATTATTCTGGCAGGCTCAATTTTCCCACAGTTCTCTAAGTGAATAGCAATCCACAGCATTATTTATGATAAGATGCCATTGTTAGAATCTAAACATTTTTCCATTTTCCCAGGCTGTGCATTTGCCATTGTGCTGTACTGCCAGCTGCTGTACTTGCTCTGTATGATAAACACTTGTATTTACGTATCATTTTTCAAAAAGCACAGCTCGGTTTATTCGAAAAAAATTTAAACAGAAAACATTTTTCTCAGTCTGAGAATAAGGAGAAAAGGACACTTTTTTCCAGATGATTTAATATAAGCTAACCTTTCCTACTCTATTCTTAGGTTAAATAGGAAATCAGAACACAGCTTATATCTTACTTTCTTAAAAGGAAGTTACACAGATGAAGAAAAATAAGTTATTTATAGCCAGACTTTCTTTTTAATGCATCTATTCAGTGTCAATAAAAGTAACAGAAACTGGCTGTGCATTCTTCAGTAGTTCTGTGAATCCTGCATTTCATATTTCAATTGATAGGACAGAAGACAATTTTATAAGTATTATCTCTGTATTAGATTTCAAATAAAATTTTTAACATTACATTTTATGAGAAATTAGTTCTTGGGAACATTACATTTATAATGACAAATATAGTGGGTGTATGGCTTTATGATTATCTTATGATTTTCTTTAGATAAGGCATCAGCCTGTATTTCAGATATTTATGAGTTTTATAATGAACATTCTCTGATAAACTTTTTAATGAATTTTAATGCATTTGAAGAGCAGAAGCTTCACTCCATTTCACAGCTTGGGCTTAAATCCCTGTAGTTCACAGGACAAACAGGCTGCAATACACAGGTAGACTTAAATTGTTTAACTGTGTAAACCCTGCTACCTGAGCATTTCAAACATTCCATACCCCTGTTGGTGTCTGTAGTTTGGCCTGACTGGGGTGGGAGGGCTGTCCAGTGTGAAACAAGTGATTGCTCCTAAAAAATTATTTCCACAAGTTTTTTCAGAATATACCTACTACCAACCTCCATCATAATTTTGGCTACTTTTACGAAGAAAAACTTGTCTTAAATTCTATTCCTCTTGTTATTCTGTGCAGGTCCCTTCACGCTATTTCCAACCCTTTGGATTCGGCCCCCGGAGCTGTGTAGGGAAGTTTATTGCCATGGTAATGATGAAAGCAATTCTGGTGACTCTTCTAAGGAGGTGCAGAGTGCAGACAATGAAAGGAAGAGGCCTTAACAACATCCAGAAAAACAATGACTTATCCATGCACCCCATAGAAAGGCAGCCTCTGCTGGAGATGGTTTTCACACCAAGAAGAAACACAAATGAGAATCAGGGTGACTAAAATGGATCAGCATTAGTTACAGGGCTTTCTCAGCCACTGCCACTAAGAAATACTCATCATTCCTAGTTAAATACTTAGAGTAAAACGTTTTGTTGCCCCTAAATGACTACAACACGAGATGACAACTTGTTCTGCCTGTACAGCAGAACCACAGGCCACAGTTCAAAAGATATGCATAATTCCTGACTACTTTTTAAAACCAAGTTCAAAGTTATGCCTTCCCTTTCAAACACTGCAAGTTCAGAGATTTGGGGTCAACAGAAGAACATGCCTGATGTATGTTTAATTCTGGCACTACATGTGTCCTTTTCCCCCCCACCTCCCCAAAGCTTAGCGGTATTTGACTACTCCAAAAATTCCAATCATCTGTTTTTGAAAACAGCTGAATGAGTAAAATTAAAGTTAATTTTAAGACTAAGAAACACTTGAAAATATTTAGGACATACGTAAGTTACAAAAAAAATGTTTGAAGAAGTCATTCAAACATTTTCTTTTTACCCTGTTTTCCTGTCATACCAAAGACTTACAGTGTCAGACAGATTTTACCAAAAGAAGTAATTTTCAGAGTACTGGGTAATAAGGGTAGCTGGGATAACTGCTCTATGTTTTTAAAACCCAGTGTCCTGCTGCAGAACACCTGAAACATCCTAGCAGGACCAGCTGAGAATGAGGTAATGAATATGAAACATTAACATGAGAGTTACATGGAGGGGTAACGCTCACCCTCACCTCACCTGGTTAATTGCAGAAATTTCCCACCTCACTTCAGTTCAGTAAAGAAGTTTAAATTCTCTCCAAGCTAAGTTGTATCAAATCCTTTCTGACTAGATTTTAATTGCTCAATTCTACTTCAGACAGTAAGATTTGGAGTTGTTGCCCATGTTCCCACACCACAGTAAGAGAGTGTGTCCCTCCCTAATTATCCAAATAGCCCCTGTTTCTTCTCCTGTAAGAGCATGGGTTGTATCCTGCTCTCAAGAATCTGACTTTATGCCCACTGACATAGAGAGACTCAGCAGCATAAGAAGAAAAAAAACTGTCTGAAGAGGCAAATTTTGCTGGATAAACGCTCGCAGTTTTTTAGTGGCAAAGGAGAAAATTTCTGAAATAACAAGCAGATTTCTAGAGAACATTTTTAAAGGTGTTTTGCATACACAGGTTTTTGTTTTAATTATAAACTAGGCTTATGTTTATACTTAGTCCTTAACAGGAAAAAGCTAAAAAACTATCAAAATTGACCTATCTTGCAATCTGTACAACCTGGGCATTGATATCTCTACTTGCCTAATGGTGAGTTGGTAGTTTGGTCAAGAAGAAAGATCTTCCTGGCTTAACAACAACACTCCTTGACAGAGACTTTGCATTTTCATTAAGCCTGAGTTTTCGTACTGTGTAACACAAAGAAAGGGATTTTCTGGATAAAGTGCCTTGATAAAGACAACCAACCAATGTACAATAGGATCTATATTAATCTTTTCCTTCCAAATCATTTAAACTATAAAAAGAAGAAAAAAAAAAAGGAGAAAAAAAGGAGAAAAATTGTTCACGTCTTTTACTTTGAAAATATAATTACAATTAATTACATTAATTAATCTATTCCTTCAGACCACTGATCTCAGATGCAGGTCCAGCAGAGGAAGATCTATCCAGTAGCGTATAAAAACTGCATAAACCCAACAAATACTCATTTGTTCCAGCCCAGGGTAATGAATTAGGCTGAAGGCCTAGGATGAGGAGAGGCTGCATGTTTAGATCAATTCTCAAAACAGTATGCAAATTTGCTAGAGTAATTTAAAAAAATCAGACTTGAAAGCAGAATAATTTATTGTGGCCAGGTTACTTTTAAAGCTTCCTCCATAACATTTGCATTGTACTCAAAAGTGACAACTATGAAGTGAAATCCCACACCACCTGTACATACAGATGAAATTTGGCATTTGAAGACACATAGAAATAGGATTTAATGTCTAAACTCAATGGTCTTTTCCAGCCTAAGGGATTCTACAATTCTAGGATTACTATTTTTTAAGGCGTGAAGTGACACCGTGGTATGAATCTTTGGAATATCTAATGTAACCCCTATTTTTACATTCTCTGTATCCTTTAAACTAGGATACTGTTAGAGTAGCTGGGAGAAGAAAAAAACCGACAAAAAAAACGACAAAAAACCCCAATCATGGTTAAATCCCATTCTTACTCGTTCTGTATTATAAAACACTCCAGGGTACTTCAGTGGACAAACATTTCTCATTTATATGAGAACTCCAAAACCAAATCCACTCAAGGGAGTTTTTTTCCTTAGGATTAACTACTATTTTATACACAGGATGCATCTTTGCTTATTTCACACACAAAAGCATTTTTGTAGTGATGATTTACTCTCTGATATTCCCATCTCATAATTATAGGTCTCTCCCAAGTAAAACTTTTCTCAAGGTTGGAATTAATAAATTCTCATTCAAATTTTGAAATAATTACATGAAATCAAATAGATAGAAAGTGCATGCTGTTCTGATTTCTTGAATGTATTACATTTTGTTGAATTTGTAGGCTGGAATTTCAGAAATGTGATTACCATAATTACTCTATGAAAGAAATGAAGCAGTATAATTTTTTACTTTTTTGTAAGCAAGCCTAAAAAATTATTTCCCATTGTATTTTAAGTATATTCCTCTGATATGCTTTGCACATAGTCTTTCTGGTCTTCAGATTTCTACAGTACTTAGTTTTGTCCGCATTTGGACAGCAGACCTGTTAATGAATCTGAGCTGTTAACTAATCTGAGCCATTAGCTCATCTGAGTTCCATTCTCCCTGACTTGATTATGGCTGTTCCACAGTGGTCTATTTGCATGAATATTTGCACTAAAAGGTCCTTTTCCCCTTCCCATACACCGACATCTGCTTGAGAACTGCAGTTGGTGAAGCAGCATTTCAAAGCTTGCCATGTGGATATAAACAGTTTCCATCTTTTCAATGTACATATACCACTGTACAGAACAGAGCTCTGATTTTAAATGGTGTTTTATTACCAGGTACTGTAAAAATGTGACTTTTTAACCACACAAAGTCTACTGCCATCCAGTGACTATTCCATGAATGTTCAATACATTGACACAGAACAAACTTGACGATTTTGTTTTATACATCACTGTGATTATGAGCTGCTCACAGGGCATAAATGTAGATGTTGTTAGAAAATAAAATAATGATCAAATAAAAGTTGTATGCACAAAACCAAGTTTAAAGTCATGTTTCATCATGTTTTCCCAACCTGAGAATCACAAAATAGTAATAAAGCATATGAGTGTGTCTTCATGCATGAACTGATTACTGAAGTATTAGATACAAGGATGAAATCTGGGATGTTTTGAAATAAAATTTTGTCGTTGATTTTAGAGAATATATGATTGCAAAGATATTTTTCATAATAGTAAGAAAACATAGAGTAATTTAAGTTCATACAAGATTCCTTTCCTAGGAAGGTACTTTATCAAAGCCTTAAAAGAGGGGAGAAGAGGTAGTTTTTGGTGATTCTTAAGATAATAGGGATTAGTGAATGTAACAAAAACCTTGGTTTGGTAATATAAAGGGCTCAGCTATCTGTGAGAAAAGTGTCTAAAGTAATAAAAAAATGAAACAATAATTAAACTGACTACACAGTTCAAAGTAAATTTCATCTCTTTTTCTATTCATAACAAAACGTATGACAAATTCAGTTTGCATTCAAAACCTACTTTATTTCACTGTCAAATAAAAGCTTTCAGAGTGATAATTCTTACACCTGGCTAAGTGACAGAACTGGAAGGTAGTAAAAGGCACATTAAAGGAGAAAAAATAAATCACAAGAACTCAATATCGCTGTAAATAGGCAGATTTTTCAGACAATAACCTGATCTTGAGACACTCTCAGTGAAAACACTTATCCTGTAATTTTATGAGCTTTATTAGTAATTTTTAAACATTAATAAAGAATTTTGTTTTATAGATTTTTCACTTTCTGTATTCTCCACTACAATCCAGTGTTATAGCCTCAGTTAATATCCCATCAAATTCAGTTCTAACTTAAATAGAAAGTTGCAATTGACAGTTTATAGGAGGAAAGGAATATATTACTACTTGATACAGGAAAACAGCTAAAACGTTGGACCAAATCTGCTCAGATCTGTGGCGAAATAAGTCCTTCTGTAATTTAAAACTGGAACTTGCTATTAATTAGCAAATTGCACATTTTAAACAGGTAGTTATCCGGGACTTAAGTGGTTAAGACTGTTAGGGCTCAAAACAACTTTACCTATCTACTATTATTGCAAGCCTTAAATTTTATGGTATCTATTTATAAAAGCACTAGGTTTGCATACTGTTATAACTAACATTTTCAAACTCAGACCTCTAACTTTAAAACACAGACGAAATCTACCGTAGCACTCGTTCCATTCAAATGCATCAAGGCATTAAGAAGAAAATCATGTGAACTACGGCCACTCCAAAAAACCTACTGCTTTCACAAACCAAGATGCCGTTATGCTGCCCATGTTCTTGCTGTCGCATCTCTGATTGCGGGTGACTTTATTTAGGTACCAGTTGCAAGTATTTGAGCGGGGCCCAGCAGATGGCGCGCACACAAAATCTATCCCTTCACAAGCCCAGCTCAGGTTTGCCCAAGTCCCTGATGACGGACCAGAGCTAAAAGCCAAGAGACCCCTGCTCTCATTCAGTTGTTGAACACTGGTTTAGGAAGACGTGGAGCCGTTCTAGAGCCGTCCAAAGTGTAAGTGCGGAGAGAAAACTACCCACCAACAGTGCAGACAGAACTCAACAGCATTATTCCAGTTGGTACTGGCATTAGGACATTTTCAAATATCACCTTTTGTTTAAAGTGTTCTCCCAGTCTAGTCAAGTGGAACCTGTATGTATCATTTAGCATCAAGATCGATAGAACCCTACCTAGTAGGGCCTGAGAATGATTTCTGAGAAACCGTAGGGCTTTGCTGGTATTTTAAGTATAATTCAGCCTAACAATTAATTTGATGTATTGATACTAACACATTTCTCTTAATATGATATTTTAATATCACATTTTCCCTGTTGCTTGCTTAATTTAATTTAGAGTCTCTATGGCATTATTCCACAGTCCACAGTAGACAGCAGTCTCTAAGGAAACATTAGGGTCTTTGAAGCAAAGTCGATTTTGTAATTGATCCTTCAATGACTAATGCAGGTCCCAACAGTTCATGCAGCCTCACCACACTTCTACAGTAGGTACAAACTTACTGGGCCAAGAATTGAGCAGATCTTCATAATAACTCTTTATTCTTT